TTTGTGTCATGTCTGTGATTTGCTTTTTTTTCTTCAAATTTAAGCAACTGAATGAACTTCCTCCAGGCCTGGTGATTCCAGAACTTTTGCCGTGGGTTGTAGTAAACTGTTGCTTTTTTTATTGTTTGTTTTTTTAAGATTTATAATTGTAGGAAGAAAAATCACTCTTCCCACTCCTCACACTAGAGAAGAAATGGGCAACTTAAATGCTAAAGAGCCATTTTTCATCAGCGCTACTCGATGGACGCATAGGACCACACACACTTCCGAACCAAATGACAACAGTCAAAAAGACAAAAATAACATTTTACATATGGCTCTTAATGCATTTTATTTTTCATAATGCATTTCTAGGGCGGCCCGGTGGTCGACTGGTTAGCACGTCGGACTCACAGTGCAGAGATGCCTTCCTGTGTGTGGAGTTTGCATGTTCTCCTCGTGCTTGCGTGGGTTTTCTCTGGGTACTCCGGTTTCCTCCCACAATACAAAAAAAATGCATGGCAGGTTGATTGGGCCCTCCAAATTGTCCCTCGGTGTGATTGGGAGCACAGATGGTTGTTGGTCTACATCTGCCCTGTGATTGGCTAGCAACAAATTCAAGGTGTGCCCCGAATCAGTAAATGGATGGATGGATATTTCTCCTGCATTTCATTCAAAATCTGCAAAAATATCAACCTCTGTGTAAACACAGATTGTTTTTTTTTAGGGGGGGGTGTATTTTCCCTAATAACCACCCCACTCCCATGGAAAACATATACAATGGTACTTCAATTACGAACGTCTCTTCATACGAAATTTTGAAGTTACGAAACGCCTCAACAGGAAAGTATTGCCTCTTGTTGTGAAAGAAATTTCAAGATACGACAGGTATAAATACAGTCGTAGTCGAGTTTCCTGAACGCAACATACTTTTAGCTGCTCTGCCATTGGCTATTACCGAGCATCATCCTGGCATCTCATTGGTTAAGAAGTACTTCTACTGAGTGTGTCTATGCGCTTAGATCACACGTGTCAAAGTCAAGGCCCGGGGGCCAGATCTGGCCCGCCACACCATTTTATGTGGCCCGCGGAAGCAAATCGAGCATGCCAACTTCCATGATGCTTGCTAAAGTCTGAACCAAAAATGTCATATTGTCATATCTAATCCATGACGACAATATCTGAACAAGCCATTATTCTTGACTTGTGATTTTAAAACAAGCTCTCCCATCAATTTGTTGTCCGCTGTGTGTATAATACGTGGAGGTGGTTCAACATTTATATGGTTTTACAAAATTCACAGTCATGACGGCCCTCCGAAGGGAAACCGTAACGACAATGTGGCCCCCGACAAAAATGAGTTTGACACCCCTGGCTTAGATAGATAGATTTGTGTCATTGCAGCGTCCTCGTCAGTCGCCCCCTCGAACCATGAGGTGTTCCGATAGTTTTATGTAAATGTGAATCACCCAGAAAAAGTCTTCACCAGTCCAGGCGATGCTCACCATTTGTTTGTTTGTTTGTTTATTGTTTATTGAAAATATAAACATATACAGTAATAAAAAAAGAAAAAAGTAAAGATAAGTCAAATTGTAAAAAAGGAAAAGAAAACAGTCATCATCCAGCACAATTATACGTTCAAAGGAGTAGGAAGAAGTAAAAAAACGTATCTAGTCCTACCCCTTGTTATGTATTAATATATTAATAGATCCTTTTTTATATCAATCAGAAAAGGAAAACGTCTGCATATAAACAAATGCTTTTACCCTTATATGTGCTACACTTATCTATTTTTACAACTTTTGGTTTGTTTGGGGACTACATACATACACACTCTGGCACATTTATATGTTGATTTTCTCTTGGATTCATAATGGATATTGCATGACATTACTACATTTATTACATTTATCAACTTAATTCTGATTTATTACTATATTTAATAAATGTACAGGTATCAAATTTATCAACTTAATTCTAATTTATGTAGGTTTTTTTTTGTACTATTCTCTTGAATTTGTTTTTGAACTCAGCAAGCGAGTCACTCATTTTCAGGTCCATTTCAAAATTATTCCACAGATTAACTATGCTGATGTTTGCCTTGGACATTTTCGAAGGATTCTTAAAAGCCGACAAAAGCAAACGTCCTTGGATCAGATCACCAAACGCCGGGCAAAAAACATTTCTGAGAGAGAACATGAATTAAAGAGGAAAAAAACCCGATGAGGACATAGTTAAAAGTTAAATGACCATCATTTTTATTCTTTACTTTATTCTTAGTTTTTTACATTATGCACAACTCTCATTTATTGTGCAGTAATTTAATTGTAACATGTATTTGTTACATATTTTGTTGCATTTTTATGCTTTAGGAAACATTTATGTCTGAATTTTGAGGGGGGGGGGCTTGGAACGGATTAGGGCATTTACATGGAAAACACGTCTCTACATACAAAATTTTCTAGCTCAGAAATGTCTTCCAGAACCGATTAATTTTTTAAGTAGAGGTACCACTGTACTGTATATTTACCAGCTTTTTTTGAAGAATTGTTGCCGTTTGTGAAAAATGAATAAATAAATCGAACATTCCCCCACCCCAAAACAAACAAACAATCTTTTTTTTCCCATTTTTTAAATGACAATTGTTTATCAGGGAGCCACCCGTAGCCCATCCCCGCACTTGAGGATTAAACACTCTGCATATTTTTTCAGAAACATTTGTGGGTTTTCTGACTTTGATCACAGAAGAGCTCAAATTCGTCCCAATTATCGAGATGTATGGAAACCATTTTAACCGTCCTCAAAGGAGACCATAAAAGTTTTATTAAAACAGCAACTCCAGAGATAAGCTATCTCTGTTGATGCCGCAGTATTTCAAACACAACTGCGAATAGCAGGTCACATAATTCAACAATAGCATGCGCGCCCAAAGTGACGTACAGTATTGTATTGTGTTTTTTCACCCCCGCTTTTCTGTGTGCTTCAGCCGCAGGATTTCAAACACACGCAGTCATTCATGCTCTGAGAAGCTGGTCTTCCTCTTGACAAGACATCAGTTACGCTGTTGATAAGGTGCCAATACTGGATTCCGGATTCATTCTCAGCCTTGCAGACTCCGAATGAGCTTTTGATCCTCCAATTATGTCATTTTTTTGGGGGGAATTCACTTTTGTTTTTGGTGGGGCGCTGACGGGCCAATTTTCCATTTGCAAGGCGTGATACTCTTGCTTTGTTGTGTGCATCGCCTGTTCAATTCTGCCTAATATGTGCATTTCCAGTACGTCTCCTGTACTTTGATGTCGCTCTGCTACCCCCTGGTGGCCTACGTTGGATATGGATTTTTTTTTTTTCCCCCAAATTTGGTTTCTTCCCAAAACAGGCCAATTGTTTTTACTGTTCTCGTTTACCAAAGACGGGCTCCCTTAAGAACGATGTTGCATTAAAACAATCCTCTTAAGATGATGCTCTGCATTGTCGATCTTTTGAAACAACAACAAAAATACTGCTTACCTCAGTATTGCTCCGCTGGCCATTCTGTAACATCGGGGCATCAGTGTTTCAAGGGCCTCATGTCCACTGTGTTAAGAGTTAAAACACAAAACCCAGCCCAGGAAAATAAGTCACTCTAGTCATTTATAAAGACCAATACCATTCCATCCTAATGTGCCTGCATGGTCTTTTTTTTATGATATATACAATATATACCTTGTGCCTTTTTATTTGTCAAATTTATCAATGGATGTTGGTTTTCTTTTTTTTTTTGTAAAAGACTTGCCTTACTTTTCTGTCCATATATTTTTGTGCCACAGTTAATCAAAAGGTGTGTCTGTTTTTAGACAGTGTGAATGAATTGTTCAGTTTTATTTGAATGTTGTATCACTCATAAAAAAAATAATGTTTTCTATTTAAAACATGTTTTTGGATTTACACTGTGGGTGACGTGCTGGTTTTGTTTGTTTTATCTGCATCCCAACACACATGGTGACGTTACTGCTGTATTCCCAGGAAGATTGTCAAGAAATTCATATGCTGACTACCAGCTTGACACGCCACAGTTCAAAGCCGACATTCCAATGGAAAATGTCATTATGCCGTTCTATTTTTATTCATTCTCTACATCTGGATCACAATTTCCACAGATCACAGTCAGCTTTTGTTTGGTGCATCTCAAGGGCTTGACATTAAAGCTGCGCAGAAAGGTAACAGGTCAGATGGGAATGTCCCCCGTGTGACACAACTTTGAGCTAAAAAGGATTCATCCCGAAGAGGATAAAAGTCATCGCAGATCTTTCCCCTAAAGTGATGTCATTGCAGACCAATTCAAAGCGACAGCAGACCCTCAACTAGGTCATCTGACATTTGGCTTGCTTGCACTTGTTATCAGTGAATTTCCATCCATAGGATAACTACAAGCTGGAGGGGAAACACCACTTTTACCCCACTCAATAATCTATAAAAAGGGTATGCTGCCATATAGGGTTTCATTTTGATTCCATTCCATTTTAAGAGCGGCAACTTGCATTCATTTTAGCCACTCCAAGCAGTTGGTTTTGTCTTATTGAAATTCTGGATGTATTCCTAAACAATTATATGTATTATCCAAAAAAAAAAAAAAAAAAAGCATTCCTAAAACAAATCCAATGGTGGCCCAAGACAATACAAATGAACCTGTATCATTTCTCCATGTGTCCAGGATATGCTGAGCGTTGGCTAGAATTCCTCCAGTCCAGGGTTAGGCAACTCCAGTCATCGAGGGTTGCTGTCCGGCTTGTTTTCGATGTTTCCCTCCTCCGACACACCTGACTCAAATGATCAGGATTGTTTCGAGCTTCTGCAGGGCTTCCTGATGAGCTGATCATTTGAATCTGGTGCGTTGGAGAAGGGAGACATCGAAAACAGGCCGGACAGCAACCCTCGAGGACTGGAGTTGCCCAACCCTGCTCTAGTCAATTAGCAGCCATGCATTATTTATACATTTACTACAGTTTGTGTCATGACAAACAACTCTCTGGTAGCACCCAAAAGATTCAACCATCTTTGATCTTTTTATTATTAAATATAATACATGGGTGATTTACAAGATGAACAGCATTCACTTAGCCACTCCATCAAACTTTGGGTCTAAGGAGAGGGGGATAAAACAAACGAAGAGAAACATTAGTGCAAAGTAAACAAGATGGACCTGGATGACAGAAGAAACGTCTTATGAAGAGAAAAACGACAAAATGAAAACCTGAAGCGTCAAGATAAAATGGTCCCAAAACAACTTGAGGTCTAAAGTTATCTTGCTTGAATGAGGTCACAACTCTTGACTATTCTTAGATGGAAATGAATCACAGCACAAAAAAAGAATGCTTGATCACGTCACTTTAAAAACAAAACAAAAAAGGGAATGAGGGAAATAAGAATGTTCAGAACTTTTGCATAGTATTAAGTGGGTCAGTTTTTTTCCGAATGTAACAGTGAAAGGCCGTGTGAAAATGGCTTGGATGGAGGAGCTGGGCGATAAGTCAATATCAATATGTATCACGATCGACACTTGGATCAATATCAATCGAAGATACCTTTAACAGAATGAAAAACAGAACACAAACCCCAACCCCGGCATGGTGCGTATTGTAGGCAGCATGCTGCTGCCTCCAAACACGGAGAAGGAACTAAACCAATGAAGAAGTGCCCATGTGGCATACTCACACGGAACGAATGTGGGGCGTAACTTCATTCAAATGAATGACCAGTTGACAAAGTACAACTCTTGTAAGAAGACATTTTGCATATGAACCAGAGTAATCACCGGATGGAGATGATGTTTTGAAGTACAGGAGCTCCCCATTTTAGATTTTGCTGTACCACTCGTGTTAACATGTCCAAACCTTAGCATCACACTCAAAGACGCGTTTGGAAATACTCTTTGAGCGTGCACGTTCATCTGACCGTTCAGAAACCGAGTGCGCTGCTCGAATTTGCCACTTGGTTTTTCAGAGTGCCGGTGCCCGCACTGGCTACGTTCGGAAATGAATAACTCCTCAAACACACCCGCTCTAAGAGTAGTGCTCGGGCGTCAGAATCAAATTCTGAACATGCCCCTAGTTACAATCAGACAAGTAAAATATGAATGGAATATTGCAATAATGAGCCCACAAAAAAAGTAGTCCTGAGGTGTTTGGTCAATGGCAATGCCTGCACTGTTAGAAAGTATGAGTTCACTGCACTTACAATGCGTGAACAATGAATGAAGGTGAATGGAAGTATCAACAATACCATCGTGCTGCTTTGGGGTAGTCTTTCAAAAATACAGTCAGCATTTTTACAGTGTACTGCGGGAGAAGCAATTTTGCACTTTAAACTACAGCAAATGTCAATGGCCACAAAAAGTTTTTATTTTAATTATTTTTAGAGGGTTTTAAAAAGTCAATAATCATCAATATTAATTGATATGAAATACTTATGGGTGGCATGGCGGTCGACTGTTTAGCATGCCCGCCTCACAGTGCCGAGGTGCAGGGTTCGATTCCGGCTGCGGCCTTCCTGTGTGGGGTTTGCATATTTTCCCTGCGTGGATTTTTTTTCCGGCTACTCCGGTTTCCTCCCACATTCCAAAAACATGCATGGCATGCTAATGACACACTTTGTCCCTAGGTGTGATAGAGAGTGTGAATGGTTGTCGTTTGTCTCTGTGTGCCCTGCGATTAACTGGCAACCAGGTCAGTGGGTCCCCCGACTACTGCCCGATGACGGCTTGGATAGGCTCCAGCACGCCCCGCGACCCTCGTGAGGAGAAGCGGATTACAAAATGGATGGATGGATGGATGGTTAAATACGTATATTGTGGAACACTTTTCAGCCACATCGCCCAGCCCTACTAGGCACATTGGTTAAAAAGGAATTCAATATTTATATTGGCCAGTTTATGTTTTTCATAGGTGTATTGACCTCTTATTAAAGGTTAAGAACCATATATTACAAAAACATTTCCTAAATTCAGCCTATGTTCTCTAGGTCGTTATTTTTCAAAAGTACAAAGAAAAAAAAGTCCATAAATATCAATAAATCTACCAATTTGAAATACTTAGATCATGATATACTTTTCACCCAGCCCTACTTGGACGGGTAATCATCCTCAATAACATGAACTGTCGTCAACGTTAACTAACAATCAGACAGTTTTCAAGAAAAATGAAATGGTGCTTCCCCGTGTCAACATACACATTTCTTACTCTCAGTCAAAGGACAAGACAGTGAAATAGAGACAGGCAAATTCCCACCTTGGAATTTGAAGTCGGGAAACTTGGTGAGGTCTCCCCCACCATATAGCCTCTCCAGTTTGGAAACCTCTTCGGACAGGTTCTTCTGATATGCGGGTCCTGCATCCACAATGCCGCCAGAAGCCCTGGGGTAGTCATGAAATCAAAAGTTGAAAAGAAAAGGGCAGACAAAGATGAAGGAAAACAGCAGCTTCCATCAACGTTTCGGTTCATGCGTCACTCATTCAAGTGGGTTCACACTGCATGGTTCAAATGACAATTTCGATTTTTCGAGACACAATGGGGATCCAACATGTGTCAGCGCCTCTTCCAAATGTGGAACTGAACACTTTAACCTACAGTGTTAGAAAAATATGCTGTTTTTCACTCATCAATGACTAACTTGCTCTTGGTGTTGTAGTCACGGATCTTGTCCAGGAACAATTTCTGCACGGGGTCCAGCTCTTTGGCCCGGTTCAGGACGACAGCAGAGAGACCAATGTTCCTGCGCAGGGTCAGACTGGCCGCAGAACGCAGCATGGAGGACAGCTGGAGGAAGGCATGGAGCGCCATCTGAAGGCGGACACAGGGAGCGTTACGAAAACCAAAATCTCAGCTGGTGACCGACGACAAGACCAAGATTCAGATATGTACAGACATCCGAAAGCCGAGTTTTAACAGTCCGCTCAACTTTAAAGTGCACTCTTCCTTGAAGGTTTTAGGTTTTGTTACGGAGAAGAAAACTGAATCCATTGGCAAAGCGTTAGCATGTGTGTACTGGTCAGGTGTAGCGTACACCCGACAATAATACGACATTAGCCTCATTCGGGAAATACAAAACTACAGAAACACGTTCGTCCATCGCCGACAAAGATTGGCTACGATCACAGTTTATTCATTAAGTTCGTGATAACAGCCCTTTGCCAATGTTCAATACAAGGTCGTTTGAAGTTGGCTAAAGGCTAGCTAGCTTAAGCTTTGCTGCATTTACCGACTCGGACACACATGCTAGCTTTAGCTTGCGCGACAGCAAAGAGCAGCTGTTTCTTCAGCCATTTTGTGAGTCTCGCTAACGACGGGTATTCTAAATGCACAACCATTCTTTTAACCTCGTATTGAGCACACGGAGACCGGTAAACAGTTGGTACCATTCATTTACAGAAACACTCACCTTGGATTTGACACTTCAGACCCAGCAAACTAATGTGGAAGACCGCGCGCGGTGGATTGTGGGACATCAGTGGTCGTGGTGGGCTGGACTGTTTTTTTTTTTTTTTTTTTCAAATAATCGGCACACAAAGTACAAAAACATGCATCTCTTGTGTAATTAACAGTGGTTCTGACAAAATGTAGCTTTAATATGTTACTGAATATAATTGGAGTCAAGTGATACTAATATTAAAATAGTATTCAAATGAACTTGGACTTTAGTTCACATTCAGTATGATTTTATAAATACTGTAATCAAGTATCAAGTTTAACTTTATTGTCAAATCAGCACAGATGAAATTCCCTCCCTCTTAGACAACAGACAACAAGAGGAGCCGCTGAGGGTTTTTTCCCAGTGTCTGCGCCAAACAGCTAAATATGTATGACCAATAAAATATCTTATAAAAAGTGTTCAGGTGATGCTGAGCTCTACAAATAAAAGAATGTGATGGTTCAGTACCTGCTTTTTTCGCAAACAGAATACAAATGATAAAATAAATGGTCCGTTTTTCAAAAATGTTTTGTCCACGTCTTGAATGTTCCCATAAATTTCACACTTCATTTAATTAGTAGTCTGTGATTTATGACAGCAAAATAATCCTTCTTGAGCTTTGTCAGATGGCATCTTTAACTGTAGCCATCCATTTGTTGTAGCAGGCATGTGCAGGAGAATTTTAGTGCGGTGGGCAAGGTGGGCCCGAGATGTGGTCTTTGGAGTCAAAGCATCACAAACATCTACCGTACATAGACCCTGCCTTGAGTGTTCAATGTCCCTGCTTGGAGTCTCCAAGTTGGAGACGTAGCAACCAGTTTATGTTCAAAGACAGATCCATTGCTGGCTTTTAAGCCTTTATTGGGTTTGAAGCACAATGTGATATGGGGCCCTCATCCCACCACCTCAGTGTCATATCCACTGGATTAGTAATTGAATTGAATACAACTTTATTGTCAAATGTGCTGTATGTGTAACATAATGCTATATGCGCTATACTGTACTTGGATGTAGGAAGTTGATGTTTAAGGTATCTCTTTAATTTCTGTGTTTCGTGTGTGGGGAAAAAAGTGCTGAATCACGGTTAGACTTTTTTTTTTTTTGAGGCGGGTGGAGGGGTTGTCAAGCAGCCGCTTAGTTCATTATGTCTAATGGTAACTCTGACCAGATCTCATGGGATTAAGACTGAACGCTGACTTGAAAATGTAATTGACTGTTCAAGACTTTGCTAACTTTGTGAAAGAAGTCTTTCCTATTCTACTGATTTTCACAGAGTAACTACTGTACTGTACTTTGTTGTTGGTTCTCATATTTCTTTTGAAATATGAGTTATTTAATGGCTATTTTTCAAACCCGAAAGTATGGCGCCTGGGTCACCATAAAAGAGCAAGCAAATCAAGTACTGTACTTGCAACACCCGATTTTATTTACTTCACATACACACACATTTACTGCAACAAGAACAGTTTAAATTCCTTTTTAACATGCTGTTACAGGCATTTCCGAGCCACGCCTGAATGCATCATATCCCATGGCGCACCCAAGATCGATGACAGACTTTTTTTTTTTTTTTTTTTAATAATGAAGATCGATGACACACTCTTTTGACTCATAGTACGCAGAGTGACGCTCATCGTGCCGTCATTTGAGTCGAGTCAAGCAGTGTTGACAATGTGGACAATTTATGAAACAATAAATTGGTAGCGTTAATGGACAATGAATGGAGTGAGTCGGTTGTTGGTGTGAAAAGTCCACTTATAGGGAGACGTCGGACACCTTCAAGCCCTTTCGCATAAAAGGTTAAGAGCGTTGTAATATACTTTGTGTCATCAAGTCAATTCAGACCATTGTCAATGCGCCGCAAATTCATTTTGATATTATTACTTCCCGACTGCACTTGCTAGGTATTTTATTGAAAAACAAACAAATAAATCCAAAACTTTTCTTATTTGTGCTCACCGATTTGCAATGCAATAGGACTGTATATGGAAATCAGTTATGAAAACGGCACAGTAATTGGGAATTATTGATCCTGGTCACATCCGCTGATGGCAGTTGTGATTTAAGGTTTTGTAGGTCTCAGAGCATTTTAAACTGGCCCCCCATCACTGTTTCATGTTTGGGAATGGCTGCATGCTTATGCATGTCAGAAAATGGGCAAAAATGTGGATTAGATTTATTTTTTCAGTCTATTAATATGTTTTGTTTCAAACACAAAAATAATTTGCTTTCATGGAGGACTAAATCAGAAAATGTTCACAGTTGACTGAAAATCAGAGGATTTGGACTCTTTCAAATTGTGTTTAAAAATAGTTAAAAACCCTTTCTTCCTTTCCATTGTGTGTTCAATAGACGTAGTCATTAATGATGTTTTACTGTTTTTTTTCTTTGTTTAATCATTGGGCATTGAACTATGAAATGCACGTTCGCCTTTATGTAAATAAGAAAGTAAAACTTGAGATCAGGATGGTGGCAAATCCAGCTCCAGAGACCAAAAATTCTGCCACAGTGCTTCAGGTGCTTTTACAACCTGGGAGCTCGTTTACCTGCTGGCTGTGTACAAGTTTTTGGTTTTTACTTTCTTGGACCGCAGGTGCTTCAATATCAACTTTTTCAATCCCAGCCATTCAAAAAAAAAAAACAAAAAAACAAAACAAAACAAGAGAACCTATTGTGTGCCAGCCAATTTAGAGCATTCTGATTGATCTTTCGAGGCTCACTGAATATTTTATGACTACATAGATAGAGAAACTACCAAATGAAAGATTAGACTCTTCAAAATGCTAACATGAGGCTATGGATTAGATAGGAGTGCACAAAAAACAAATTAGTGGGTTAAATTCACATGAACAACTTTGAAATATGGGTAAGCAAACAGCACACACCTTTGCTGGAATCCTGGATGCCTGGTGACAACTAAGACAAGACCTGCCCTTGTGGTGGACCTACCACAGCAGTGGTTTCTGCATGGTTCTGCATTCAAAACCTTGCTCAAGCCTGGGTTTTTGGTTCTCCCTTACCTTTCGAAACTGTGCATTAAGAACTAAAGGACAATTTAAACAAAGTTAAACTAATTTCATTCTGTTGCTGCAAGAGGCAAAAACACACGATTATGAACGGGCCAACATCACAGTAACATCGACAAGTCTGTACAACGCTCTTATTGGTCAACGGTATTCTGAACAGAGATCAGTTCTTGCAGGCTCGGTTAAGCATTCTTGGAAACGCCTATCCGACAGTGAATCAGTAGATCAGCATGTACCCTGTACAGCAGGGGCCACCAACGTGGTGCCCACGGGCACCAGGGAGCACCCAAGGACCACGACTAGCCCGCGGGCGCATTGCAAAATAGCTCACCACTGATGAGACATTGTGATTTTCAAAGAATGTTGTAGAAGTGATCAAACGAAAATGTAAACACTGGCTCAGGTTTATAGTCATGTTTCCTAATGATTGAGAAATCATGAACATAATTAGTGTCTTTCCATAAGAACAGCATTTATTATTTCTAACAGACAACGTTATTAAAGTGAATTTGAGTAAATTCGATTTTTCATATGGAAACTTGGAAACTGCCAATGTGGAGTCAAAGTTTTTGACTGGGCTCTTTTGTTCGAATGTCTTGGTAAAGTCGTTCGAACGTGTTTGATAAAGTTGTTGGAACATATTTGTCAAGCGATAAAAACATTAACTTTTTTTTTTTACTCATAATGTAGCTTTCTGGGAAAATTCATGCCATTATGGGGGGGGGGAAATGCTATGTTTTTATCTTTTCACCAACGTTTTACCAAGACGTTCGAATGACTTTCCCAATACGTTTGAACAACTTTGGAGTATGTTCCAAAGACTTGGCCCTGTCAAAAACGTTCACTACATATTATCAGTTCCACGCATCCGTTGACCCCAGCTGTACAGTATATAATGGGTTGAGGAAGAAGGATCTGCTCCGGGGTGGACAATGAGATCCTGGAATAGGCCTTGGACACCATCTGGACCCATCACTGGATGTGTATGCAAATTTGATATTAGCCAAATTCTGATAGTTTACACATTACAGTATTTACAGCTAAGCTAGTACTCATCCAGGAGTGGTGGTCATCAGTAATGAGAGCCATTTTCATACTGAGACTGACAACCAGGGGTGTAGTGGGCGTGATACGAGGGGGTATGCCGTCCACCCACTTCTCCCGACGCCACATTCAATTTTTATTGAAATGTTTGTTGATCATTGTTCTAATGCGAGTTATGCTTAATAACGCTGGCCTGTGATTATTTTGGAGTAGTAAAACATTAAATGTAACGTTAGTTCAACTGGTGTTGTAGCCTATGATTGTTGTTCTGTATGTATATATAGAACATCCCAGAATGGCGTACACCCACTTAAAAAATCCCCACTACACCACTGCTGACAACTATACAAACGCACTCGCACACAAGGTAATTTTAGAGAACCCCGCAAGCATGTTTTATACTGTAACAGGAAGGTGTATTGTCCTTGGAGGAAAACCACGTCTGCGCAGGTACAACATGGGGATGCTCACTCCAAACAGAAACATTGACACTCAGACTCACCCGAGTGGCAGCAGTTCCAAACAGAGATACAGGAAATTCATTCGACAGTATATTGAATTTCTGAGGTGAAAACAATTTTTAGACATGCTGCTTGATAAAAGAAAAATAAACAAAAACGAAAAACACCATCTGTCGGTACATTCAAAACTTTATTATGGAATACAGTGTAGAAAGCGTTTCCCCAGTCAATGCAAATGGCCTGCAGAATATTACACGGCGAACAAAAAGCAATGCAATCAACAGAACGAAATCCCTCTTCCACTTCTCCCCCACCATCTGTCGTGCTTCTTGTGAGCACTTGCATGTAAGCATGCCAACAAATGTTGCCAAAGATAATTGGCCATTCGAAAGTATTTAAAATGTTTCACAGAGCGAGAGGTCACACTTTACTTTCAATGTGATAATGGGATGCGAGGAAGCCTGTGAAAAAGAGCTGTCTGCTTTCGTGACTGTTTCTTATCATTAGAATCCAATGAATGTTTGGAGGTATGCCTTCCTAATTTCTCTCCCAGCTCCGGCACAATGATCATGACGCAGACAGCAGAGAGCTCCAATGTGCATGGGTGGCATGGAGAGGTGAGTAGCATGCCTGAAGATAAACAAAGGCAAAGGAGAGAGGCGAGGGGATTGGGATGGGGGAGGGGGTGGCAAATGGTGTAAAAACCCATTATAAATACAGACTGCCTGACAGCCTGACTATCCATCCAGAACTGCAAGTCATTTCCTTTCTACCTCCCTCACGACTCCCCTCCTTCCCGTCGGCGCTCCACCTGTCCTCTCAGCAGACAGGAAAAAAAAAAAAAATATATATATATATATATATCATGACTCCACCACTATGGGATAAAATGCCAGCTTAAAGATAGCTAAAACACCAGACTAAAAATGACAAAACGTACACACCCAAGTCTAAACCATCCTTTGCTAGATTCCTGCAAACCATCACCCAGATATAAGATACCTCGCAGGGAAAACAACCAAAGCGTTGAACTTCAAAGCAAAATTGAAAACGGGTCAAGCCCCTAACATCAGGATCTCTGATGATACAATATTGAATTAAATGAAAATAATGTACAGATGAAGCCAGCTCCTCCTCCTTCAGAAAAATGTTGAACAAAAAAACGAAACAAAGAACCACACTTAAAATTCCAAAAATCACAGATCAGTTTTAAGTGTGGGTAAGATATCAAAGCAGAGCCTGTCGATGGAGGTTTATATTTATATATGTTTCGCCATGGTTTTAAGTCACGAGATCACGAGAGGATACGAAATGTACAATCTTGCTAGCATAATCTATAAGTGAGAGAGGTTCGAGAGAGCAGTTTTTTTTTCTTTCCAAATCCTGTTGTCATCATGGTCATGCACTACATATGAACAACTACAACTTCAGCATTACTTCAGTACATCACACACAAGTTTAAAAAATGATTTTAAATCTTTTTTTTACTCTGTTTTCATTCTTTTTTTTTTAAAAACTAAATCGAACCTATAGAGAAACCAAAAATAAACACAGCTCATTCAGAATACATAATCACTAGCATCATCATCAACATGTTCATTATCAACTCTAGATATTTAGCCTTAAGAGCCTTGTGTCACCTAACACAGCCCAGCTGTCATAAAAATGCACAAATAAAAGAGGAAAGAGGGAGGCTGGGTAGTGGGTGGGGTCTATTGGTGTAAATTACGCTAATTATTCTCCAGTGCAGAGAGTAGAGTGCAGCAGTGGCGCAGGAAAGGGGAAACAAAAAGACCAGACCTAATTTCTGGAAAAATGAAGATTTGACTTCATCCTATACGTATATGATTACAAACTAAATGATGGGTTTTTTTTTCCCTCATGAAAATTGAGTACATGAGGCCCATGGAGCCATGTAACCGTAGCCCTCTTGATCAGAGGCCAGATTTGGCTTTTCACACCAACAAGCCAAGGAAAAAAAACAACACAATGGCTCTGGATCTGTATCAAAAGGACAGGTTTCTTTCATTAATGGTGGGTTTCGCTTGCACTGGGTGAGGCCACCCACATACATCAGCAGGCCCAAACAGAGCAACATAAAAAAACTCTTAAGTCAAAGGCGTGTCGCTCCAATAAAGTGAACAAACGTCGTGCAAATTGGCTCGGCCACAATGTCCGCCCAGGCAGTGGTGGAAGAAACGCGGGCTACAAAAGCTCCATATACTCAGTCACTGCTTGGTATCATGCCACACTGCTGACAACACTCTACTCTGGGATGGGGAGGGGTAGGGGAGGGAAGGTGCTTAAGGTGTGGAATGAAATGTCTGCGTGTGTGGATATGACATCCCCCTCAGTTCTGCATCTGTTCAAAGAACTTGTAGGTTGGGTTCTCGTAGCCATTCTGCTGCATTTTCGACAGGTGGCGCTCCTCGGGGGTAACAGCAGCGTCCACCTGGAGCAGAGCCAGAGAGATTGCTGGGTTACCCGCGTGCACATGCACAACATTCATGAAGGGGGACCAGAACAGCTTGCCCATCACCCGCCCCAATACACGCGCCAGCTGCTTCTGACCTCGATGACTCCATGGTGGATGGAGGTGTACTGCTTCTTCCGAAGCATCACCAAGGTGATGACAATCACGGTTGCTATGACAACACCGCCAACCATCAGCCCGATGATGGCACCCTTGTTGGAGCCTACATCCTCAGCAAAGAAGACCTGACGGAGAGAAACTTGTCATGTGACACGCACGCATTCACCAGCAGGCAATTGTGTGTGATGAGATGTTGGACATGGCAGCCCTCCTAATTTTACATCTGATTTGAACATTTTTCTGGATATCAAATTAGAGAGATGATTGACTTTGGGAACTCCACAGCCTCTGTGGTGTTTAGTGCAGTGTATTAGATTGGCCTCTGCAAACAATAAGTTTGATCTGAGAACGGAGGATTTTGCACGCTATTGTGCACCGGGAGCGAGGGTCAGAGGGAGAAAGTTTGTTTACCAGTTTCTGGTGGTGAACTTCATATTCAGTACTCTGTCTGTCCCCCTTCTCCATTCGGAGTTCGGGAATAGCCTCCATTTTTATCCCAGTCACTGGCAAGAGAAGGAAAAGTACTGTATTATAGAGCGTGACAGTCAGAATCAACCTTTTATGTGGCTTATAACTTGAACAACTCAGTTCAAAAACAAAGAGAAAACCTTGAAGGTGAACCAAGAATAAATTAAAACTCCACTCAGTATTTTGGGGGAGAAGTATAATGGGGCACATTTTGATGTGGCAATATGTGCCAACTCTTCTTTTCAAAAATGCTCCAAATCTGTCAGATTGCAAGACTCTCTTCTGTGCAGAGCCCTTTTTAGATCACCCCACAGATGTTCGATCGCATTCAGGTTTGAACTCGAACTGGGCTATTCTAAAACATTGCTCGTCTTCAGGCGACACCATTCTTTGTTGGTTTTGCTGTGTGCTTTGAGTCATTACCATGCTCATGAAGTTCCTCTTCATTTTCAATTTTCTAGCGGAAGCCTCAAAGTTTTGTGCTGACAGTGACTGGAATTTGGAATCGTTCAGAATTCCCTCCACTTTGACTAAGTCCCTAATTCCAGCTGAAGAAAAACAGCCCCAAAGCATGTGGTGCTACTTTGTTGATGAGCGATGTTGTGTTTGCACAAAACTTCAGTCTCGGTTTCATCAGACCATAAGCATGCGCTTGAAAGATTTCAAGTGTTCTTTTGCAAAATGTAGGCGGTGCACGTTTTTCTCTTTATCAGATAAGCCCGCCCTTCTTGCCACTGTATAATTGCCCAAGCATAAAGAAGCCAAGTCATAAAGAACATGCTCTAAACAGCCAGTCCTGGCCAGAAATTCCTGCGGTTCCTTGGCAGCCAGCTTGACTCATTTTCTTCTCGTCTTTTCATCAGGTTTGGAGCAACATCCAGTTTTTGGTAATGTCACCGTGGTGCCATATTTTCCTCCACTGGATGATGATTGTCTTCACTGTGCCCCATGATATATTCAAGGCCTTGAAACTCTTTTGACCATTTTCCCTGACTGAGATGACGATGAACAACGACATCCCCCTGATGCTGTTCAAGCTCTCTGCGGAGAGCAGCTTATGCTTTAAGATGTGACAAAGGAAATGCCAGGGATGTCTGAACATTATTTGGGTCAAAGGCAATCTAAAAAACTGTGCCAGGTTTCTCCTGACTCCCACTTAACTGGAGTTTGAATGTGACTGGTCAATTCTGAACACAACCGCATCCCCAGCTATAAAGAGGCATGTACACCTGTGATTTTTTTTTTTTTTTTTTTAATCGACCGTGTGTCTAATTATCCTCATGTATTGAACTGGAGACCTTGACTGCCTTCGGTGTTTGGGAAATTTCAATCTGAATAACAGTGAGTTGTCCCAATCAAGACTGCCAAAACAACAGTGGGATAAACATTTCATGCAGGCTCACCTGGCCGTGTGGGAACACCTCTTTCAAGACTGGGGCGAGAGTCCACGGGTTCAACTGGAGCGAGGAGGACAAGACTTTCAGTTTTGAAGGACAGATTTCCACTATCGCAAACAACTATCACAAATGAGCAAATGTTGGAGAAAAGACCTTGGTTGTCAGTGTTGGGCTGGTTAAAGCTCTCGGGATGGATAAAGCCGACTCCTCCCAAGCCGAGCGTGTCCTCCTGAGTCAGCAGCTCGGTTTGGCCATCTCCCAGCTCCTGGTCGGGCATCAGAGCATCGTTACCGTAGCTCACCCTCACGTCTGTCTGCAGGTTGGCCAGCTGTTGGGCCATCTCAGCCTGTTCCCTCTGCAAAAGTTCTGGAGAGAGGAGAAATCACAAGGGGATGGGTCAAGGATGAGACTTAGAATCTTCTGGATTATTCTTTTCATTGTCGGTTTCACAAAATAAATATGAAGAATGCACATACATGACAGTTTCTTTGTCGGTTCAAGTAGTGAAATCTTGAAAGAACCGCATTTCACGTCTAGCCCCACATGAATGATTCCAAGAATGTGTCAACATTTTTTAAATTTCTTCTGGCAAGAGTCTGTGTGCATCATCCACAATGTCGTACCGACTGTCACAGTCTCAGAGACACAGATGGTTGTGTGACGCATGCAACTCCAATAAGCAGGGGAGGGAAAAAAAACGAAGGGGTGGCCGGCAGATTTATCTTCCCGACAAACAATTTGATTTGAATGCGCTGAAGAATTGGGTCAAATAGCTGCAAAGTTCTTATCAGCAAAAAAAAAAAAAAAAAAAAAAAAAAAGCTTGGAATTTAGAGCTTTCAATCCCGCTGTTACTAGTAACATAATCAGCGCTACATTTCACATCTGTCTCACAAAGGTTTGGAATTTGGCACGAATCAGACAGCTGAAGAATCTGAGATATTTTGTCAAGAATGAAATGTCACATTTTCTACAAAACACTACCGGACTGAAACTCTCGAGAACAGAGTGGCGTGAAACGTACCAACTTGGTCCTGGATGTCGTCAGCCACACCAGGCACCTTGTAGAGAAGTCCCAATGACTGGTTCATACGCTCTTCAATGACACGCAGGTGGGTCAGCACCTATACAGCATCACACGCACATACACGCGTCCACACACACAAAGTGCATTAGACGCAGTGTTTCTCGACCTTTATTGAGCCCAGCAAGCCATTTTTACATTAGGAAAATCTTGGGGCACTTCACCAAACAAAGATGTCACTTAAGGTCAGAATACTGAAATAATGATGATTTCATCTCAATGTGCTCACAAATTCACACACAGTGCAAACTTTAGTGTTCGAGTGTGCGATACCTGAGGCCTGATTTGCGCCGCCTTCTTTGGGTCCACCATACGGACGTGTTCAAAGTGTTTCAGGGTGTGCTGTCTGTCCTTTTGCTCGGCGCGCACGTATTTCTTCAACAGGCTGAAGACATGACGAGGCTGCGACAAGCGGAACACGGCAGCTCGTGAGGTGCAGGCTCAGGACAGCATGATTGGAAACATTGGTGAGAAACTACAATTTGTCAAGTGTGAAATTGAAGCTTCTAAGTCAGTTGCAAAGCTATTCCATTAGCGCATCAGTCTGGTCTCAGAGCTTTAGAAGACAGAGGAAGCAATAGAGGACAAGACAGATAGTTGGCCACTCAAAATATCTCATTTATAAATAAACAGTAAACAAAATGATTAGAGGCTGTTAAAAGAAATAAAACAAGGCAGGTTAGGAGAAGGAAAGAAAACACTGAAAATACTTGACATAGTGGATTTATGTCTCTGGATGTGTGTGCGGGCGTGTGTGTGTGCTGCACCCTGGGGGGATCCTGCTGCAGGGCGGTCAGGTAGCTCTCCAGCGCCAGGCGCCGGCGGTCGTTGTGAAGAGCTTCCACCCGGGCCATGTGAGTCTCCACCAGCTGCTGCCGTTCACTGGCTGCTTCCAGCTCCAGTGTCTCGACCTTCTCTTGGAAACGCTAAAATGCACAGTTGAAACAATTCAAGTAGTGCTGGGTCAACGATCCGCAGAGCCGGCATTCAGAATATGCCGACGTTACCTGGATGACCGCCTTCTTGTCTGCGCGTGGAAGATTCTTGGCTTCCCTCTCAGCCTCTTCCCACTCTCTCATCACCTGAGCACAAGTAGAGAGACATCATGTCCATTAAATTGGAATTTGCTCATAATTATTAGTGTGACTGGAATATGCTGCCACCAAACGGAGAGAAAACAACAGCGACAACAGATGACACCCATCCCAATATGCCATGCACATATGCACTCTGCACTCTATGAGCAGAGTTGTAAGGACAACACGACATTGTTGGCTGCACCACTGCTTTTCTGCCCATGATTTTGGAACCATTGTGTCTGGGCTGGGAAAACTAACCTAACAACTGTGCTGCAATTATACTGTATGGTTTCAGAGACAAGTGGAGGAAAAGTAATACCAAATTATTCCGTACTAATAGCATTTGCAGGAATGACTGTCTCTCAGGAGTCACACATTGACATAAATGTTCCACTGCAGGCTCGCAGAGAGATGCCGTTCACAAGTGTGACTTCTCTCTTTTTTGGTTGCATCCTCTCTGACTCACTGGCTGAGCTCAGGCCTGCGGGCGACACACAGCAGCGTCTATAAAGGGGAAGTCAACCGTGCGCAACCTGATGATACGGGGCCTGAAGCCACTCAAGCAAAAACAAACACCCAGAACAAACTCCAGCACAAGGAAATGTCATTCCGAGTTCCGCACAAAGTGTCCTCGTCTGCAGCTTTGAAGCTGTTGCTGTGCGGTGTGCACCATCTGCTGCAAACCACTTCATTAAGGAATGCAATTTAAAAATAAATAAATAAATGAATAATCAGTGCAGGCATCTGTAACCCGGACTATGGCATAAGGCAATGGGGAGTACACATAATCAATTGAAAGATCGTAGGTTCATTCAGAAGTTAAAAAATGTATGTATACATAAACATAATCTATGTTGTTTAAGAGAGTGGCGTCGTTAAAAGTGGTTAAACAGAACCGACTATTGCCGTGGCCCTAGCGAATTAGGGCACAGAATACTAATTAGGTGTCAGCGAATGAGAGGTACCGTTTTTCACCTCCGTGACGTCAAGAGCTTGCAGCGCAACCTATCTCGCTCTCTTTTCTGACGGGGCCTGAACGCGAACGGACGTGTTCTTCGGTTATTGTTAGAGAGGTGTTTCGGGAGAACGAGAGAGTCATTCTACGCAACCTTGATCACTGTTCCTGGCTAACGTAGCTGTTAGCTTTCCGCACCGCCGGGATTTTGCCGACCGTATAACGACATCAAAGTCTCACTCAACGTCCTTCTGGCCGGGTCTTTTTTTTTTTCCGGAGTTCTGACTGAGGACAACGCTGGGATTAGCGTGCCTCCAGTGGAGTGGATTCCATTACGGTGCCCTGACTTCGGAAAGTGTTGCAGAAGGGGTACAGTGGTGGTGGCGAGCCAACCTAAGAACATATATTGCATTTGACAAACCTTTTTTTGTTATTACTAGTGTTGATGATGTTTAGAGGAATTTGCTTTGTACATCAAGAGCTGACAAGAACATTTTGTGTTTAGTTATTTTATTCAGATTGGAAAAAAAGAAAAGACAAACTCACACCGGTGTTGAGAAAGGTGATCACCGATTATTTTTTCTTTTAAAGGAAAGACCAATTAAGAGGTTGAGACTAAGTTGGATTTCTTTACTTTTTTCACAGTGTTTTCGTGACAATTTTGCTGTCATGTATTTTTGGTTGATATAAAAAGATTACTGTTCTTTTTTACAATTGTTGGCTGGTTTCTTTGCCCATGCTACCCCTCCCTCAATGTCAGCATCATTGGCTCCAGTGAATCGAATCTAGCATACCCTTACTGGTCCAAAGAGAAACCCATTGTCCATACCGGAGTGCTTCATCACCTCCAACTATTATAAAACAGACGCAAGCCCTTGTTACACATCCCACCCATGGGAGAATTAACGGATGCACTTATCAATTTTTGCTATAACTTCTCCGCCTTCAATTTCCTATTAAAAAAGAAAACACTGTTCATTTTCTCAGCTCCAAAGACAATCCTTCGGGCTATAATCGAATTTATTAATAGACTTTATTGACGCCTGTCAGGAAAGTAGTGACTGAATACAGTAATCCCTCGTTTATCGCGGGGGTTATGTTCCAAAAAGAACGCGCTCAACTTTTGTTCCAAATCAGCTTCTTATTACTGGTTACGACGCGACTCCATTCTCATTCATTCCCGCAGCTTCACTGTGCTTTAAACTGTGTGGACGCTGAGCGTCGACCGCGCAGACGCTGGGCATCTAGAGAGTTCAGTGTATGTTGACCCAATGCATTGAAATGAGACGAGTCATTGGATATTTGGTTTTGTCCCGCCCATCGGACGCTGAGCGTATCGGCTGGCCCGGACGCTAGGCTTTTCTGCATGATGATTGGATGATCTGTCTGAGGCTGAATCTCTTTTTCATTGACAGCGAAATGAGCCAATCACCGATCTTATGGTGAAGGCATCCTTTTCAATTTTTGAAAAGGAACGGAGAGTAGAAATCACGTATAAATAAACGGACACATTTTATGATGTAGGCCGAAATTGAGCTTCCCCTCCTTGACAGACCAGCATCCGCCACTGATACAATGAAACCAAAGAACAAAAATTTGCAAAGGTAAATTTGGCAAGCTGTACAGAGACGAGGTGCGGAGACTGTTCACGTTGGTCAGTCCCTTGGCCAATCAGGATGCAGGACACAATTCACTGTTTAACAAAAAGCATTAAAAAAACTGCACTAAAAAAAATCCGTGAAACAGCGAAGCCGCGGAAGGTGAACCGCATTATAGCGAGGGCTTACTGTATTATATGATGGGAAAAGCCACCCTTCTATTTTATGCATACCTGGGACATCCTTTCACGGTGCTTAGCCTCCAAGCTCTCTTTGGCCTTCTGGAAATGGGTGTGCTCATTTTCATCAGCAGGCGTCTCCAGGTAGTGGTCCACAGCGTCAGGAGAGCCGGGTGTGGCTGTGGGCACTATGTCAACACGAGGAAAGAAAAGCGAAGACAGGCAGATGGGATTACAAATAAAGTATCCCTGTATTCTCACATTTGGCTGCTTGAGGACAGAGAGCTCAAAATAGGTCACGAGAGGAAGGAAACAAGATAGTGAGTGGAAACCTGAATCGTTCAAAAGGAAACGAGCAAAAGTAAACACCTCACGTTGCCCATCATCCTGTGTATGACAAATTTAAACCCCCCACTCAGTTATACAGCTGTAAAAAGCAGGGTGGAGTATCTCCAAATATACTGAGCTCAAATTAATCCCACAGCCATGACTGTTAACTTCTTGCCAAGACACACGGCGTGAAACCTGAATTACCGGTAATCAGCAGAGTTGATTATCTTTAGTAAAACCAATCAAAAAGTGGTCTGTCTGTGTGTGTCTGTGTGTGTGTGTGTGTGTGTGTGTGTGTGTGTGTGTGTGTGTGTGCGCGCGCGCAGGCATGAAGGTCAAACATCAATTGAAATTGGTTATGTAGTCTGAGAGTGCATGACTGCACAAGACACCAAAAAACAATCACATGATGTTACACGCTGTGAGGGAGCACACTTAAACGGCAGTCAAACTATAAAAACACAGTCTCTATTCAAAAAATAAAAATTAAAAAAATCACCAGCACATTCATGGCAAGCCACAACAATTCGGGACATGTTTCGACTCTTGGCTGAGGCGCACCTGTGTGAATATTAGCATTGAGAGGCTGTTGCAGTAAACTCTCGCTTTGACTATGCTCACAACCCTAACGAAAACACACATCCAATCACTGTCGTGAAAATAGATGTCAAGCCAGAGGGGGGAAGTGGGACAGACCATGCAATGAAGCATCCTGCTAGTTGGACTTAATCAAAGTGAGTAACTATTTGAAATTCTCTCAACCGAATGATCTGACGGGCATTAACCATGAACCTTGAAATAAGTTGCAGCAGCATGAAAATTACGGCAGCATGAAGTCAGGTCGAATGAAGGTCATGTTATGAAAAACACACAAGGCAGAGAAGAGTTAAAATATTAGCCAGGAATGGAGGCAGGAGCTCGGGAAAGTTCAGAAGGAGCAGTGAGCGTCTTGCAGGAGGTTAGAGTCAAACAAGTAGCACGCTGTCAAAAGGGTAGCTGGTCTGGGTCATCTGCTGCTGGCAGAACTTACTGACACTTCTGCAGACAGACAGGCAGTATTCCTCGGACTCAAAGTTATTCCTGTTGCCTCCGCAGCCGCCGTAGATAAACTGAGCACAGCGGCCCTCCTGGCGGTCAAAGTACCAGCGGGGCAGCATGGCCCGGCATGGACCAGTCTCTGCACTGGCCCAGCACACATCTTGGAGGATACACACACAAACCTGTCATCATCCACATCCACTGCATAGAGCCAAGTCAGTAATCATGTCATATACATCTGTGAAGAAGGAACCCCCATCCACTCCCCCAAAAAATAAATACCCGCCAACACACGCACACTTGGAGGAAATTAAGAAATACAACTTCCCAGATGAGATGAGACTAGAACACGCGCGCCAGGGAAGTGCTAACTCACCCCTGACGACCTCCTCAACTGACTCAGTGGTGGTGGTGGTGGTGGTTGTTGTCATGGCAACATTGGTGGCTGCCTCGTCGTCGTCATCGTCATCGTCGTCGTCGTCAAGCGTGTCGGCAGCCATGTCTTCCTCCTCCTCTTCGTCCTCCTCGTCCTCCTCCCCATCTCCATCTTGGTCATTGTCCAGCGCATCCTCTGCCTCATCATTTCCCTCAGCCGTCTCCTCCTCCGCCACAGATTGCTTGGTTTCCTCTTGTTGCTCTGCTGGCTCTGGCTCCCGCACCATACTGGGAGAGAAAGCGCAATGAGGAGGCATGGACGAGAAGGGGAAGTTGCGGAAGGAAAAAAAAAATGGCGATACAAATGAAGCAGGGAATGCGGATGATGAGGACAGAAAGTCACTCGTCCTCAATATTCATGTCCCAACTATTTGAGTTGATTCTTTCTGCAGCATTGTCCATCATTTATCATTAATCATGCATTTTGGCTTCACCTTTTAATAGCCCAACATAGCACGGCCCCATCTTTCGACGGAATCAACCACAAACACAGAATATAGAGTGCAGCTGGTTCCGGATGTGTGGCTTTGACTTTTCATAGTTCAATCACTTGAAGCTGCTGACATGCCAAGATGATTCCCGTCTTCCCCTGCCATTCAGTAGAATAGTTCTGACAAAAACGTTGTACTGCTCACAGCCACTCAAGGCAGGACTCGCCAACCCTTTTTTGATACTGAGAGCAACTTCTCAGCTACCAATTTGATACACACTTCTGCCATCAAAGATTTGCTCCGATGTTCTTCAATGGTCAGTTATTAATAATGACCAATTATTTTAATCCATGTGCAGACATTGATCACGTGAATGTTTTGAGGCTATAATTAGTCACAGTAACAATTAATAACAATCAAAAATTCTTAAAAAAGCGAGGAAACAAATGTGTAACACTGCCCAGCACTCCGATTTCTACAAGTCTCTGCAAGTGTTGACATGATGAAATGATCACTTCTTCAACATTCCAAGGAAATTAAAATGTCCAATCACTGATGGGCTATTTTAGGGACATTCACGCGGCTACGCATGTGGTCCTTGGGGAACAGTTGAGGTCAAACGTTTGCAGACACTCGTCCAAGGGGGAAGAATGTCATATTCAGTTTATGATAAGGCTTTCAATGATTTATTTGTACCGTTCTTTCCTCCCTTGGCAAGTTTGACCTCCATCAAACACTTTTGGAGCCGACATCATCAATTCCAAAAACAGTTTTGATGTAGATTTGAGCTCATGGAGCCGTTGTCTTCACTTTGGTCTGATATGTTTATCTGCTATCAAAGATGCCTTCCTCTGAATGAGTCGCGGTTCAATGAAGTTAAGGAAGCTTATTGTATGACACATGGTCGGCTAAAGAAATGAGAAGAAATAAGTCTCAAGCTACAAACCACTAAAACAGCCTTTTACCAGTAGAAAAACATCCAAAATAAAGGGTTGCATGCTCCAAGCAGACCCGGACATGCTCATCTATGCTTTTATATCTCCAGTTGACTTGATTATTTTAATTATCTGCTGACTGGACTACCTCAAAAGCGCATCAAACAGCTGGAGTTTATTCTGAATGATGCAGCTCAGGTTCTGGCCAGAACAAAGATGAGAACATGTTACTCCAGTCCAAAAGGCTTTCCACTGGCCACCAGTCAGCCGTGACTATACTATAATGATTGCACCTTGGAAAATGAACAGTGGAAAAAACAAACAAAAAATGAAAAGCCCCACACTACTGACATGAGTCACACTAATGAATTTATGTCAACTTCAGACGACAACTTCCTCCGCATGCTACCTATGATCATCTCACAATGAAACTAACAATAACGCTACCTGTCAACTCAACACTTAGACCTCCCCCTTTTATAATTGAATGTTTTTGTGCATTTCTGTTATTTCCTCCTTGTGTCTGGGTTAGTCGAGTCATGAGGAAAAGCAGCAGGTTGGCACATGTACTTGAGTTGTTTGTGAGCACTGAAGAATTCCACGATGAGCTGGAAAGACCGACCATAACACGTTTACTCGAAGCGCGCAATGTGTGTCAACTACATTATTAGAGTCTTTCAATTGCTCAGCTGAGTGACAGAATCTCTCATCTTTCTCAAATTCTGCACACCCCGTTGGTACATCAAGTACCTGTTATCAGAATAGTCAGTCTCTGCTCCACCCCACCAAACATCAGAGTCGTCGCCATCCTGCTCGGCGCTGTCAGCATCGCGCTCAGCTTCTGTTGGGCAGCACACAAACTCCACCCCTCGGAAACGGTCAATACCGCACGGAAGAAGCATTCCATAGTCATGGAGATTCATGGTCCGGTCTGTGCAGGACTAGAGAATTCAATCCAGAATGACAAAGACAGTGGGAGAGGAAAGATCTCTTTTTTGCTCTTTGACGCAATAGTGATGTGTGTGTGTGTGTGTGTGTGTGTGTGTGTGTGTGTGTGTGTGTGTCCTCACTTCCTTGGCCACAGTATGCCAGTGCAGGTGGCTCTCACATTGGTCCATGCGCTCCTGATGCAAGAACTTACACTTGTCAGGAACCAGCAAGGCATCGCTCACAAATTCTCCAACTGCAAAACACCCATATTTTAATACGCAATAAATGGACGGCTTTTCCGTTGGCATCATCAGAGAGTGGTTACATCCAACAGTAACTTTACCGATGCTTGACTGACTCCTATGTTGACAGCAGGCAAACATAACTTAACCAATTACCACCAAAACAAATTAGTTTCATTTGCTTCCCAACACTGAAACATTTTCTTTTCTTCCAGAGAAAAATGCATTAAACTTAATTGCAAAACTCAATTGAGCAGGGTTATGTACAAACCTCAATTTGAATTAAGTTGGGCCCTTGTGTAAAATGTAAATAAACACAATTAAATGATTTGCAAATCCATGTCAACCTCTATGTAATTGAATAAACTACAATGTTATGTGATGTTCAAACCAATTTATATTATGCTATTTTTAATTTTTTTTTTTTTTTTTTTTTTTTTTTTAACATTCTCTCATTTTTAATTTAATACTGTACCGTCAAAACGTTCCAAAGAAAGCTGGTACGGGGCAACAAAAGATTGGGAAAGTTGAGGAATGCTAAAAAAAAAAACCACCCGTTTGAAACATTCCACAGGTGAAATGGTTAATTGAAAGCGGGTGCGTGTCATGACTGAGTGTAAAAGGGGCATCCCCGAAATGGCGAGGCTCACCACTTTGGACAAGCAAACAGCCCAACGTTGAAAGAACAATGTTTCTCATTTAACAATTGTAAGGATTTTCGGGATTTCATCATACACAGACCATATCATCATCTTGCAGACGGTGAGAAACCAGCTGCGCACCTGTTACGACAGCATGGCTTTGGAGTAAAACAGTGCGAGTACTAGACTGGCCTGCCAGCAGTCCAGACTGGTCTCCCATTGAAAATAGGCCACCTATTTTCTTTATGAAGAACAAATTACCACAACAAAGACCTCAGATTGTTGAGCAAATGAGGACGTACATCAAGCAAGAATGACAAAGAATTCCACCAAAAAAACGTCAATCGTTAGTGTCCTCAGTTCTGAAATGCAGAGTGAGTGTTGTTAAACAAAAAGGTGGCGCAAAACAGCAGTAATCATGCCCTTGACTCAGCTTTTTGGGATTGTGTTGCTGGTATCAAATTCAAAATGAGTATTTGGAGAAAAGAAAAAGTTGATCGGTTTGAACATTCAATATCTTGTCTTTGTAGTGTATCCACTTAATATAGTTGCCAAGAACTTGCAAATGATCGTATTCCGTTTTTATTGACATTTTACACAACATCCCAACTGTATTGCAAATGGAGTTTGGACAATCCAACCTGTCATTTGCAGGGGTCTGCCAACCCCAGGTACAAATACTTGGGGGGGAAAAAAGGATCTGTGAATCAAGGTACTGTACCCCTCCCATGAAGATGAACTCACCCAAACAGCGGTAGGGCACTACGATGTGCATGTGGCTGTGACATTGCTTGCGACCCTTCTTGCACCAGTTTTGTATGCTGACGGGCTGGTTGGCCTCCACCACATTGGTAATTTGGAGCTCTGGATAAACCTGCACACGTGACAAATTTATGTGAGGTTTTCAGACACAGGTTATCACACTGTTGACCTCTGAAAGCATCCTGTTTTCACTGTGTTGTGTCGACAGCAACACTGTAGTTTATGATCAATAAAACACACTTTGCATATTAATTGTTTTTCTTCTGTCATTTTAACAACAACAGATTGACGCACTTATGCACACGCCTTCCCGACACACTGAGGCGATGCAGTACATCTGCTAGAAAATATGTGTGGCCAAATGTGCCTTATTTTACCAAGTAAATGGAAAAATATGTTGTAGCATCTTTCTATTTTGTTTGCTGCGACAAAAATAACCATAGCTATAACAATGAACAATCGGCTAAATACAGATCAAGTACTGAATGCATCAAAGGTGGAGATGATGAAAATGCCCTGGGAGGAAATTACTTCTCTGACTGCTTCTCGGTTCGCTTATTTCGCCCCCCCCAACCACACGCCCCTAAGATTACCAACAGAAAATACAAGAATAGATTTAGAGCCTCTTACTTCCTGGCAGTACTGCAAGATGCCCTCTTTGGTACCAACACAGCTCTTGGTGCCTGTGGGGTCTGGTTCCCACTTGCCATTCTGCACATTGACATGCATGTTGAGTTTCCCGCAGAACATGGCCACCTGGGGCTCAGCCAGCAGTCCCGTCAAGCCATCTGTGGGCACCTGGAAGACAGGGCAAGAGGGATTTTACTAAGATGTTTTGAGCACAGAGGACTTGGCTGCAGTCACATTCTATTTGTTGGGAAAATGCAGCATGAGAGCAGACGCCATTGTTGGATGAAACACTTATAGTACCTCGGGATTGGAAACAAGAAGAGTAAAATTGACAGAAAGGCCCTCTGTAATGGAGAGCCTATTACTCATCTTAATTGAAAAAAAAAAAATACCCATTTCTCTTCTGCACTGAAACGAGGCTGAAAATTGCCTCAATGCTACCAATCCATCTATTTCTATCACTCAAACTTGTAGAAAGCTCAGATCCCAACGCTTAGATTCACTTTTGGTTCATAAAAAAATATTACAAGTAGAATGGGAGCAATAGCCTCCTCTGGAAACATCATTCTGACATAGTTCAGGGGGCACACACCCTCTGTCTATTCGAAAGTGAACTTAAAGCTAAAGCCTGACCAATTCATCGGCCTGATGATTGAATCCACCGATTGTAGCCCTTCTAGCATCGGCAACAATCATCTGCAAATCGGCCAATGTTTGCCGGTTGTTTCACCCCTTCACGTCCCTTATCCATGTTACACAGGTAAGCTTCTCATAGTTTAATTCACAGAAAACAATAAAGCTTTTCTTCATTATGTACATGCATCAGTAAAAAAAAGTGATTCTATGCTTCTGTTAATTCGAGATGGTCAGATGAACCCGATAACGCCAAAGCTTGCGTCAGCCTTCCTGAATCACATGGCTTCGAAATAGTGCTTAGGAGATTGGATCCTTCTGCTATATCATGTGTCCGATTACGCTAAAAGCATCACACGTCAACGCGGACTGACGGCTCATAATGGTTTGGTGGCTGTCATTGGTTAGACAGCTTGTTTTGGCGCTAACTTGTGCAATAACATTATTGAACAATGTTTTTTGGGGGTGATATTAATAATCGTGACCAGTGGAAAGCAACTTTCTAAAGTGTGGGATTGTTTTGATCTTTTACTGACAAGTAAGAGTTGTGGTCATTGAAGCATCAAAGTTCCGAATATGTTTCAGCACAATTAGAAGGAAGGCCTCAACGCCCATCTCTACTGACAACCAGTGCTTCATGAATTGTGATTTTTACAAGCAACGCTTTGTTGAGCATTGTGACATAAATCAACCAGAACTGTGACAGTTAAAGTGCAACGTTTAAGCTAGTTTGAACAAAGTGTTGCTGCATTCCATGTTTGTGGTTGGAACAAAAACCAAAATAACAAGGATGCATCTTTTGTATTGATAACACATGCCTTGGTGGGAAAAATAAGTGTCACGAAAATTCAATGAGACATGAGCAAGGCAAGGCATATTTTCAATGGCCATGCATTGCCTTTGATGGGAACATTACGGCAACGAATGACGCTGCGCTGGGCTGTGTGATCACGACCGTTGATGCGGATGTGTTTTCTTTTAAACAAGTTGAAAGCTTGCCACTTACTAGCACAATAACAACAACAACAACGAAAAGGGTCATGAGCGCATTCATATTACCATTAGCAGCTAGCTTTGTTGCGCCACCGATCACCCGCGGCCAAAGTCATCGTCCACAGAGTTTCATAATGGGTCGCTGTCTGTGCGTTTACCAGACATTCGTGTTTGGTCGGTGTAGTATCCTGAAGCATCAGTCTGATGGATTTTTTTATTCACTTCATTTGCAGTTCGTAACCAGTCATGCTCACAATCACACTGAGGGACAAAAGTAAATTGCTTCCTATTTTAACATTCATGCTCACGTTCTCATTATCATCTGCATTTAATCCTAATTTTAAATTCAAATCAAAGAAGTTAAATTGAGTCTTTTTTTTGTATGGGTCCTTAATTTTCATCGTGATATACTTTTCTGTCAGATCACCCAGCCCGAGTTACAGGTATTGCTGGGTAAGCTTTTGTTGTATTGCCATTCATGTCGTATGTTACTAAAGATGTTTCCCTTGTCTTCGCTTTTGTCCTGTGTCTTGTCCTCCCTGTTTCCGGAGGTGTGGCTTCACCTTTATCAGTTCATTATATCAGTGGTGGTGAGGACGGCTGTAATGGAAGCGGACCAGTATTGCCGTTGTTGCCGTCATCATGGAACCACTACTGTACTGTTGTTGATACAGCTATGACTGTGCTTGTTGTTCTCTCATTGCCAAACCCCTCTATCCTGTTTTCTCTATGTCCCTCGAGTCCAGTGGTTCTTAACCTTGTTCGAGGTATTGAACCCAACCAGTTCAAATGCATATTCATCGAACCCTTCATTAGTGAAAAATAAAAAATCTATTTTACAAATTCAAGACATTAAAAACACATTTATGAAAATGAGAAAAAAGTAAATAAAATTTCAAGACGCAAGTATACGTTTTTTAAAATTTTGCACAAAATGAACTGTGCATGACGTACTGTCACAACAGTCACACGTTGACAACGAAGCAAACTAAATTTCCCGCAGCACTGATTGGACAAGCAATGTCATGTGATCATCTGCAGCCAGTGATGGCCAAGCGGGCGTGTCATAAGTAATTGACATGTTGAGTCGGGTGTGTCTTAAGCTCCATGGCAGAGGCTCCGTCGAACCCCTGAAACCGATTCACGGAACCCCTGGGGTTCGATCAAACCCAGGTTAAGAACCACTGCTCTTCATCTCAACCCAACCGGCCAAGGCAGAATGGTATGCATCAGACCCCGGGTTCAGATGAAGGTTTCTTTCTGAGAGGGAGTTATTCCTTGCCTCTGTCAACAAGTGCTTGCTCATTTGAGGCTAAATAGCTTCCTTAAATACATACACAGGTTATGTATAATGCATGACAAGTGTGGCTCCTTGATCTGCTTAATGTGTAAAGCGCCTTAAGATAACTTGTCCTGTGAATTGGCACCATACTAGTAACATTAAACGTGGCAACCTCTAAACACAGCAGTGATTTAATCATACGAGACAATTTACAACGCTGAATTGCTAAAGTCTCAACCTACAACATTAATGCAGTTTTATACCCTCTGTGCCCTTGCAGGCTTTTTCATGTTCTTCCTCAACATAATGTTAAAGACATAATCTCTCTGTTGAGTCAAATATGGGACACTTCTGTCATCGCAAGAGCAATAGAGTGTAGTGGTGTGCGTGAGCTGCAACAGAAGACTGCCTGAATTTAATACTTTTTTTTTAGGGGGGGGAGGGGTTGGACATTTTCGGAGATGCTGCAGAAAAACACTGTTGGCATTGTACTTCCAAATAAGCTTGTACAAAATCAGAGGGGATACTGAGGGGTGGCAGCACAGGGAGAGAGGAGAGGGACCAGGACCAGTGCCATTGTGCTCTCCCTAATCTTGTTAATGGTATTGAAGCCCCTGGCAGGCAAACAAATGTTGTTTTATGAGATGGAGCCTCCTTTCCCCTGCAGACTGATTCACTCAGAGCAGTCTCGGGATGAAGTCCTCTTCACAAGTAAGGATGGATTCTCAGTTTAATAAGTGTGAAAGTAAAAAAAAAAAAAAAAAAAAACCCTGCTAATTTATGAATCATGGAAGCAATTATTTCACCATTGGTGCTTGGTATAAGTTCCATATGCCATGAAATTAATTATTCTGGTGCTCACGAATGCTGCAGTCAGACTGATCGCAAACTGAGCAATTCTCGCGACACAATTACATATGAAGCCTGGGTGCAAATTCGTTCCAGGCAGCATGATTGATGCGTTTGAGGTGATGCGGGTGGATGCAAGCAAAAAAAGGAGCAGGCTTTGAGAATGGGGAGCCGATGTTGCCGTACAATATTTGGGGCGAAGTACTTGTTTACAGCTGTTCAAGCCAAACCTTTACTTGCAGACTGATAAATCAGTGTCCCGGGATCAAAGCAGAGGCAGGACCGGGCGGAGAGACAACAATGAGTGTGATGACGCAAATCAGGATCAGACAGCAAGCTTGAGCAGATCGCCAAACACTAGCGAGGGAGTGGGGAAAATTAGGAGATGCACATTAGGATGAAAAGTAGAAATGCATTATGGTTTAGAACCAGGGGTGCCCATTACGTCGATCGCAATTGACCGGTATATCGCGGACTGGTCCCAAGTCAATTGCGAGAGCTGTAGAGGAGAAAAAAAAACCCAAAACCACCATTTGTGGGTCTTTGTGCATGTTAGTCACATATTTTTCAGGGATGTGTTCCTCGAGCCGGTCCTTGGCCTCGAGGACCGGCTCGAGGACCGAAGGTCGGTCCTTGGTCCTTGGCCTTGGCCTTGAGAGTCAATTCCTTGGCCTTGGCCTCGGCCTTGGGAGTCAAGTCCTTGGCCTTGGCCTCGGCCTCGGCTTGCCGGTCCTCGGACACAATGAGGGATTAGAGCCTCGATGTCCACAGGTATTAAGTGGGACCGAGAATCGCAAAAACCACGAAGGATTCAAATAAATTCCATCCAGCGAAACGCATATTGATGGATTAAGCTGGCGCTTTAAAAGGGGCGGGTCTGCCACTGACAGGCGACAGTTAGCGCAACGAATAAAGAGCGGCATCACAGTTAGTTTCAATCACGGTTTGTTCCGTTCGCGATCGGCAGTTTAAATAGCGTGTAAAGTCTTTCTGTAACAGTGGTGTCTTTTATGTAGTTATTTTTGCACAGTCGTCACGTTTCTGCGGTGGCACTA